CACAGGGACTGCAGCCCACGCCGTCGCCGGCGACTCATGGCAGCCCAGCCCCAGGTTGAGCTGATGTTCAGCCTCTTAGCTGTGGAGGGCAGTGTCACTGGCCCTCATATGTGGGATCCGAACCGGGGCCCTCTGGCATCCCAAGCAAGTTCTTAACCATCGCGCCACTCGGCCGGCCCGAGTCTGTTTCTGTTTTGTTTGTTCATTTATTTAATTCTTCAGGTTCCATGTATAAGTGAAATCATATGGATTTGTCTTTGATTTATTTCACTGAGTGTAATACCCTCTAGGTCCATCTATGTTGTCACAGATGGAAAGATTTCATCCTTTTTTTGGGCTAAGTAATATTCCATTGTGTATATGTACCACCTCTTCTTTATCCAGTTGTCTATTGATGGACACTTATGTTGCTTCCATATCTTGCCTCTGACTTTATTTTTCTTTGGAGGTTCTATGGATTGCTTTAAATTAAAGTAACCCAAAGTGATTACAAATTACCAGTCGAATTCCTGCCTTCTCCCAGATTTCCAGTAACATGAGACCTCTTTTAATTCCCAGGATTTTAGCCTGTTTTTTCTTACATCTCCATGCTTTTGCACATTTTTTTCCCACCTATGGACACAGGAAACTCTGGGAACCCCTTCCCCCCCACACACACACCTCAGGTCTCTTCCTCTTGGCTCTCCGTGACCTTGCTCAAGAACCTCCCTCCCAAGTCTTCCTTCTCTCTAGACCTTTAGGTGGATCCCCAACCTGTGTAGAAGGAATGTTGGGCTGTTTTTTCATTGCTGTGCAGAATAAAATGGGTCTCTGGAGAGTCACAGAGGGTGACTCTTGCCTTTGGAAGCTAGGTTCAGGACCTGCAAAAAACTTCTCTTCTAAAATCTTGCTGCCTGAAAATTTCAAAGAGCATTGGGTTTTAATCCATTTTCTGGGATGGGATTACATATACGTAATCCATTAATCCAAGCAGATTAATAAATTGTCACCGGCAGTGGGTAGGGGTGGGTGGGCAGAGAGCAGGAAGTGTTGCTTAATGGGTGCAGGGTTTCCTTTTGGGGAGATGAAAACTAGGTTATGGAACTAGACAGTGGTGAGGGTCACACAGCATCACAAAGGCACTTAGTGGCACAAAATTGTACACTTTATAGAAGAGCTAAAATGGTAATTTTTTTGTTATACATTTGACCACTGTAGGAGCTTGTAGGAAATGGTGTTGGGGACAATGTTAGGCTAATATTTCCAGTGTCACCACACCACATGGAATTTCCAGGTTGTAAATATTTTTTCTGTAATTTCCTACAGAATCATGATTAAACACAGTGATTAAACATTACCAGTCAAGTCCATGTACCTTGTGTTGATGGGAAGCTATAAAAACTGACATTACTATGAAAACAGATTTTAGAAACTTCACACATCATGCCATGTTTAATGTACAGTAAAAAGAACAACACCATCTTAATTTGTGAATGAGAAGATGCACCCCACTTCTGTACAATTAGGAATCAGAGCCCACTCAGGCATGGCAACCGACACATACAGTAAAAAGGAGGTGTCAGAATAACAGTATGGATTAACTTCCATGGTGTGAAGTATAGGACCAGTGGGGGAGTGGTGTCCCATATTGGGAGGAGGGATTCAGAGCAGAGGGAAAGGTGAAGTAAGATGTTTAGCTAATCTGATTCATTTTCCACCCCCAGCCCAGAATTCCGGATCTCTTACAGAGTAAATCCCTTCATTTAGGTCTCCATTAGGCACTGGCTTCAGGAAGCATTTGTTCAGAGTCACATTGGGAACATTTCTGGTAAATATGGCTGCAGACCAGACATCTTCATGGGGCTGTGGGAAATTCCAAGACAGCCCTGGATGGGAGCTGCCAGAATCTCTACCACCCCCAGGTTTCAACGTGACTGACAAGCAGGACTGCACCTCGGAGACTTGGCATGTTGCCTTCAGAGCATTTGCCAGCTCAGAGGAGGCGGATCCCATAAAGGACCTGCAGAGACTGCGTGAGCTCTGCCACCTGTGGCTGAGGCCAGACATCCACACCAAAGAGCAGATTCTGGACAAGTTGGTGATGGAGCAGTTTATGATCTCCATGCCACTGGAGCTCCAGGTCTTAGTCAAGGAGAGTGGTGTGGAGAGTTGTCAAGACCTGGAGGACATGCTGAGAAACAATGAGAAGTCTGAGAAATGGGTGAGCAGGACCTTCGTGATCGGTCTGGGGAAGGGAGAGCGGGTATGGGGGCTTCAAGGTGGAACTGGATGACAAACAACATAAGGGGTCTATTCTAGGTCCATGGTTCTCAAAAGGGTCCCAGGGGACCCTTGGCAATGTCTAGAGACATTTTTGGTTGTCACTGCAAGGAGGAGAGGGGATGCTACTGGTGAAGAAACAGGCACAGGTGGGATATATCCAAACAGTGACCCAGTCTCTGTGTCGTTGGACAGTGGTCTTAACCTGGGTAATGGGTCTACACACTTTACCATCACCTGCCCTAGCTCTCATGGAGACGGCTGTGTAAGGGACATTTCAGAAGTTCAAGGAAAAGGGAACCCAACACCAGTCTATTGGTAACTAGAGTCTTGAGACAATGCTGAGAAGGAAAGAAGAGGGCTGGGTGAGAGAGTAGGCATTTGACTAGATTAGGGTTTCTCAAGTTTACAGTGATATTTGGGGATGGACCACTGTGCTTTGGAGGCAGTTCTGTGCATTGTAGGATATTTAGAAGCATCCTGGTCTCTACCCACTAGATATCAATGACAACCTCCCTAGTCATGGGGGAAAAATAACTGCTTATTGCCAAGTGTTCCATTGGGTCAAAACGGCTCCCCAGTGAGAGCCACTGGACTAGGGGAGACTTTCATGGGGACACTTTTCATCATGGTGGTAGAGTGCCCGCATGCTTTGAAGAAAGAGTTAAGGAAGAAAAGGGGAAGGGGGAGCAAGGGTCAGAAGAATCCAGAAGGGGACAAGACCTGGTGGAGCACATGATGCACATTTTCCCCCATCTTGGGAACATAAGTTAATCTAGAGGTGACTTTGTACATGGACAGGATGGAACTAAGATAGTCCAGCATGGAAATCCTCCTTACACACCTGGTAGATGGCAAAATCCTTCAGGTGTGAGCTGAGAATAAGAATTATAAGCTTTGGCCACATGGTGGAAAAATTGCTGTGGGAAACTGTAAAATGTCAACCTGGAATAAAGGCCTTACCATCCAGTTGAGTAATATGCAAACTCCAGGTGTTTGAAGCATCTCTTTGGCAAGGTGTTAGATTTTCACCACGCCACAGGTCAGGGGCAGGCAAAGCATGTATTAGGATGATACCATTGGAGGCGGGAAAAAATGGGGAGGTAATCAGGTTGATTAGATGTTGTGGCCAGACTCAAATCACAGATGTCATTGTGACAATTCAAAGGTGACAACCTAATTTTGATCCAATGCCAGGGGATGGGGTGATTCCGCCTCCCCACCCCAGAGAGTATTTGGCAATGTTGGGAGACAGTTGGTTGCCACAACTTCAGAGGTCATGATTTTAAACAGGTAATTCCAGTAAAGTACGAGTTTTGGGTAGGATGCAGTATGAAGGCTGCATCCCAGTTCTTGTTTTATTCCCCCCACCAACAGACCGTAGTCAGTTTACAAGGACAGAAATTTCTTGTGCGAAGTTCAGATGTTCAGATGGCTCAAGCTGAGGTCAGTGACATGGACAGCATCAGAGACATGTCCAGGAAGGCTTGGTCCTCTGGGAGTGACATGGAGATACATCCTGAGAACAGCCCAGAGGTCCTCCGAGAGCTGCAGAATCTGCCAAGAATCAATGAAATGTCAAGGGAGCAGGTGAGTGTGATGCCCTGATGTCTGGGGACAGGTGGTGGGTGTGGTGTGTGTAGTAGCTGCTAGAGGAATTCGGGCATTCGGCCCAGGAATTGAAGTTGACCCATTTACCCCAGCAATTCCCATGGGGGCATTCAATTCCTAGATACCTCCAAGCCAATGTGGACGATAAAGACTCATTAACCTTTGTCCCTCTACCCTTCAAGCTTTTAGTATTAAGGGTGGGAAGAAAGAAGGAGTCTCCATGAAATGGTGCCAGGTCAACTTGTCACAGGTCAATGAACTGAAAGCTCATTTTCCTCAAAGGCATTCCATAAAATCACAATTGGCCAAAGGACCAGTTTTTGGAATATTGTCAATTCCTTAAATTTAAGGAACGGTTCCACATGGGTCATTTTGCCTCCCAGAAGACCTTTGCAAATGTTTGGAGACATTTCTGGTCATCAAAGTGGGGGTGGGGTGGGGGTTGCTATTGACATTGAGTGAGTAGAGACCAGGGATGTTGTTCGTCATCCTAAATGCACAGGATGGGCCCCACAACAAAGAAAGACCCAGCCAAAATATCAGTGGTGCTGAGTCCAGAGACCTGGATCTATAGTCATTCTGCTTCCACAGTCGGGGGCAGGGAGGCGTTGGGATGATGGGGAGAGGTATTATGTCATCAGAGCATAAAGAGTAAAAACTTCAAAATATGGACTTGATTTAAAGGTGTGGTGGGTATAGATTAACAACAGACGTGGGGGTCAGGTGGTGATTATTGGAGGTGATGGGGGTGGCCCCAAGGATGTGTAGGCATACTAGGAAAGTTGTTGTGTGAGAACAGGGAGATGGGGGGAGAAGAGGGTTTTTCATGCTCCAATGTAGACATGTTAGTAATTACACCTGGTTGCCTGTTCTCAGGGGCAGAAAGTCCTCCTACCAGAAAGCGTTCCTGGAAAAGGTGATCTGGAGGGTCTGAGACTCACTCAGAACTTGAAGAAGGACCTGATGGAAGATGGGGAAGTGATGACAATGGGACTTACCCGTCGAGAGCCTCAGCCTCCAAAGGGTCCTGGTGAGTATGGAAACTGGGACTTTAGAGGAGTCAGTGACTGTTCCCAAGCTGGGTACCAGGCTGGGTATCCAGCATCACCGTCTCTTGGGGACAATCATCTCTCAGATGCCAAACCTTCTCCATCACTGAATCCCGTCTCAGGTTTGTTGGTTGACGGGAAATTTCTCAGCCAACATCAGTGTTGGTTCAAATGAGCTTGGTATAATAAAAAACACTCTTTAGTAAATGTTCTGTGTTGAATTCCTTCTTTCAGAAGATTCTGTGAGGGCAGAGAGTGGGAAGAACCCTCAAGAAGCAACTTGTATTAAAAATGTGGATCCTCACCTACCTTCCACCCGCGTTTTGGAGACAGACGTTTTGACTCAGAGTTGGAAAAGAAGAGACTCTCAGAGTCCAAGAAAAAAACAGGCCAACACTTCCATTCCCCAAGAGGTGCCTCAAGAAGGGGCCACGTTGTTGATCACAGAAAAATTCTCCAGACAACTCAGGTCGAGTTCAGGGCCGTCACCAAGCTCCGTGGGACCAACTGGTCGTCCTGTTAGAAAAAAAGCCACGAGAGGGGCATCGTACGAGTGTGGCCCATGCAAAAAAATATTTCAGTATAAGTCTCAGTTAAGTATTCACCAGAAGAAACACACAGGGGAGAGACCCTTTAAATGCACGCTCTGCCTCAAGGGTTTCGTGCAGTCTTCAGACCTCCGCGCTCACCAGCGGATTCACACCGGGGAGAAGCCATACAGCTGCAGATTCTGCCTCAAGCAGTTCACCCACGACTCCACCCTGCGCAGTCACGAGAGGGTCCACACCAATGAGAAGCCTTACCAGTGCGAGGTCTGTGACAAACACTTCAACCACAAAGGGAACCTCAATGTTCACCTGCGTACCCACTCTGGGGTGAAGCCCTACCCGTGCGACCAGTGTGACCAGGCCTTCCGTCAGCTGGGAACTTTTAAACGCCACCAAAAAACACATTTAAAGGTGACTTCCCCAAATTCTGCCTGAGTCCCTTCTGCCCAAGAAGGAAATTAATGGTGATTTGTCACCTATGTTGAGAACTGATGTATGTATGACAGGTTAAGCAGTTACAAGTTTTCTGGAACACCATGGGGGTTCTATAAATGAGAATTAGGGTCTCTGAATACTTACTTATCTGCCCTATTGGTTTAAGTTTTCTGTTTCATTGTGTCTTATTGTTTTCTTCCTTAGGGTTTTTGTTGTTTTGGTTTATGGTGTTACTGAATGCAATAAGTGCAAGTCCTGTTAGTTGTTTCAATAAATATTTCATCATTAAACCAAGGCTGCTGATTGTCCTCCTGTTATCCATTATTTCATTATAAAATATGGTTGATCCCAGTAAGGTGGCGAGAATCCCAGTGAAATTTCAATTTCAAATAAACAACTTGTTTTTTCAGTATACATATATTCTGAATTACTCTGAAATTCAAATTTCACTGAGCATCTTGTGTATTTTAAAAACAAACATTTTAGAACAGCTTTAGGTTCACAGAAAAATTGAGAGGAAGGTACAGAGATTTCCCATATACACCCCTTGTCCTGCCCCGACTTCTCCCCACCTACCACACACAGCCTCCCCATTATCAACATCCCCACCAAATGGTACATTTGTTACCATTGATTAACTTACACTGACACATTGTAATCACCCAAAGTCCATAGTTTACCTTAGGGTTCACTCTTGGTTATGTATATACATTCTATGGGTTTGCACAAATGTACAATGACATGTATGCACCATTACAGTACTATACAGAGTAGTTTCACTGCCCTCAACACCCTTTGTTTTCTGTTTCCCCCACCGCATCATCTATTTTTATTTGGCGACTCATGCATTCCCATTTTGACTAGGGGACGACATGTTAAGTAAGGATCCCCTGAGAGCTTTGTCAACCACAGATGAGGGGCCCCCACACTCTGTTTCTGACTTGGTGGCTCTGAGGTGGGACTGGTGGATCTGAATTTTAAGACAAACTGAGTATTAGGATAGTTTTCTAAAGTCCACAGGATTCCTGTAAGTCCCACACACTTTCCCCCAATATTCACATCACACATTAGAACCGTACATTTGTCTCCACTGATAACTATCTCGACACATTGAAACATAATAAGGCCCATACTTTTGACACTTCCTTGGCTTGGCGTTCACATCAAGCCCACTCACTGTCCCAGCCCCCTCCAGGACACCACATTGCATTTAGTTGTCACGTCTCCTCAGGCTCCTCTTGGTGACACTTTCTCAGATATCCCTTATTTATGATGACCAGGGAATCTGCATTTTTAAAACAAGTTCCCAAATGATGCCGATATTTCTGGCCTGTGGGGGCATTTTGAGCACGTTTGAGCGGGTTTAGCTCATAGGCAGGGTCCTGTAATCTTCAAAGGCCTGGGTATGTCACTTCCTCCAGGGGTGGCCCATTTACAGAAGTCCTCAGGCCCCTTTAGGAGAAGACTTTAGAGGACTTCCTTGAGGCAGGCTTACCGGCTGTAATCAGTGTGTGTAGACTCTGTTTTCATCCTCATACTGGCTAAAAGCCAGTCTTGGAGCTAAGTGGGAGCTGGCTGTCCAACTCCGCGATTCAGTCCAACTTCCTTCATGGGACCAATACAATATTTTGATGATACAACCTACTCATTGGTTCTAATCCTAGGGGCTCTGTGATCAATTAACCACACAGTTGTTGTTGTTGTTGTTGTTGTATGTCTTAATAGCCCCATTTTTCAATTTGTGCATGTTGGAATCACATGGAGAGCTAATCCAACAAATTCCACAAGTGCTTAGCGGCCTCTCTGAGAGAGAAGGATTTGATTGGTCTGGGCTGTGGCCCTGGTCTTGGGAGTTTTAAAAGCTCCTCCGGTGATCCTAGTGGCTGACTCTGCCAGGTCAGAGTTGTAGCAATATCACCCATTGTAGCAACCATAGTGACTGCTACGTGACTTGTCACTCCAGGGCTCCATCCTCTCATTAAAATCAGTGAGTCCATTCAGTGGCTTGAACGCCCACCTCCATGCCCAGGATGGACACTGCTATGTCCACAGAGGTCTGCTCCCCTCACACTGTGTTCCCATGCCTCAAGACCCTCTTGGAGGACATAGTTGAGTTTAGGAGGATGATGAGTGAGGTCAAACATGACAAACCATCCAATCACTCCTGCCTTGATCTGTGGCCGCCAGTCCCTTGCCTTCACACAGCACAGCTGGGCTACTTGTTGGACATTGAAACCACCAGGCCCTAACCCAACCCTACTGAACCAGAAACTCTGAGGCTGGAGTCCTGCACGCTGCCTTAACTGCAGATGATTCTAATGATTCATGAACCAGTGCTGTTCATCCTTGGTTCTTAGACCTGGAATCACTTGGGTAGGGTTTTGCTTTGTTTCAGTTTTGTTTTGAAATAATTATAGCCTCACCAGAAGTTGCAACAAGATCCCAGAGAGGTCTTACGTACCCTTCCTCCAGTCTATTAAAAATATGCCTGCAAGCAGCACAAGGTAAGGGTGTTTGAAAACCTAAAGGGGACAGGGCACGGAATTCACAAGTGGGTGGACTTATTTTTATTTCTTCCCATACTGTTCTCTTCTTAGCCCTGCACTCAGGCTAGCAAAGGGAGATCTCATGGTGAGAAATTATCTTGTGTTATTGGCATTAAACAAAACAAAATCCTGACAGGTAGGGGTTCAAGGTCTGAGGAGTAAACGAGAATTGGAAAACCCAGGGCTGTGGCATTTCTTCACTGGTTCAGGTTTTTCACAGAGCAAGGTGACTGTGTCTAACCTGGTGCCACCACCAGCATACACATCTTGGTTATTTTGAACATTTTCAATTGTAAAATTGGAACGAGTTCAGAGCTCATTTGTATAGTTATTATGATAACTGTCCACTAGATGGCAGCAATGGTCTTCGAATAGGTGCTGCTAGCTGGTTCTGCTGCCAACATTTTAAATAACCAGCCCTAAAGGTGAAGGGATTAAGTACAAATTGGTGGTTACAAAGTAGTCTCGGGATGTAAAGTACAGCACAGGGAATATAGTCAGTAATATTGTAATAACTATGTATAGTGTCAGGTGTGTACTAGACTTATCTGGGGGATCACTTTGTAAATTATATAGATGTCTAACCACTATGCTGTACACCTGAAACTAATATAATATTGAATCTCAACTGTAATGGAAAATTTTGAAATAATAAAATTAATAACTAAACAAAATAACCAATGCTTCAAACTGGGAAATGTTTTTCTGACATACCAATAAATGAGTGTCTTTTTAAAAAAGAAATCTTTCTGTGCTTAGTGTGGGGCTACATTTGACTGTTCATGTGGTTGTTCACACGGTCTGCCACTTTTCCTTTTACTGAATAACATATTTAAATTTTATCATGAAACCTGTTATTGTTATACAAATCAATATAATTAACCTCAAAATATTGCACAGAGATAAAATGGTGATTACTACATAATGACCTAATTAGCTTATAACCTGTTTTATTTATTATGCAGTTTTTGGAGACCAAAATTATCAGTGTACATTTTTTTATTTAAAAAAATTAAAAATTATTTCAATTACAATTGACAAATGATATTTATTAGTTTCAGGTGTACATATTACTTTTTTAACTTTTTTTTTTTTTTAGATTTTATTGGGGAATTGGGGAAGGGGAACAGCCAAGTTGTTGTCCTTCAATCTTAGTTGTGGAGGGCGCAGCTAGTTCAGCTCCAAGTCCAATCACCATCTGACTGCCAGTTGGCAGTTCGCAGCCACTTCAGCTCAAGGTGCCTACCATGTTCAATCTTAGTTGCGGGTGGGCGCAGCCCACCATCCCATGCGGGAGTCAAACCGGCAATCTTGTTATTAGGAGCATGTGCTCTCACCAGCTGAGCCATCCTGCCACCTGTTGGCAGCTCAGCAGCAGCTCAGCTCAGGCGCAGCTCACTGGCCCATGTGGGAATTGAACTGGCAACCCTGTTGCTCAGCGCTCGCGCACTTAACCAACTGAGCCACTTGGCCGGCCCCTCAGGTGTACATATTTTTAATTGTAACAAATTCTAGGATAAACTGCTAAACTATTATATAACCTGTCTTCATGTCAGAAAGAACTTTTTTCCCCCAAGTCAATATATGACTTTTATTGCATCTTTAAAATATCACAAATGAGTTTAAGGAATCACTTGACATCTTGGTGTTTCTGTAGCTGGACAACTTAAATCTTATTTATCAGCCTGCTGAACTGTTCCTTTTTCAGAAACTTAGATACAATCCCCAAGTTTTCTTTGATATTTCTGACATTCTTGTTTTTATTTGTTGTGGCTTGTGGAATCAGAGCAGCTGAATTTGATGCAAGTTCAATATCATTTCCTTCAAGGATGAACTGATGTTTCTAAAGGGCTTGAGATACTTAACAAGCAACACCTGTTTTTTTTTACCCAGGAAATTTCGGATTTCAACAAGAGAACTGTTCTCCTGCATAATGACATTGACTGGGAAGTGAGCACACACAGACTTCATCTTGTAACGGAAGCCCAGTGTAACACCCTTGATTGTGTTCTGTACATGGCTACAGATGGTGCGAACAGGAGTCAGTTCCTTTCTATCTCCCCACCTTTTGTCAACCCATAGCCTCTTCTTTTTTCTTCCAAGGAGACTGAGTTCTACATTGATGTGATTGAAGTCCCCCCACAGTGCCCCTGGGGCCCCTCACAATAACTGTGGTCCCTTCAGAGTGGCACCCACATTTTCTGGAACGTCCACTGTCTAATTGCTGAGAATGGTCTTCATCCTTGCAGTAGATGCAGCAAAGAGAGCCAGAAAGAATTTTTTAAAGGCTCAGAAAGAGTAAACAGAAAGACAATAAAGAATGAAAAAAACTTACCTTGATCATTAAATAAAGTGTTCAAGAAACTAGGTGGAGTGCCAAGGAGGAAAAGATTTTAGAGCTCCTAATTTCAGCCAAATACAGGATACAGCATCTTGGGACAGCAATGTTCTCAA